CACACACTCACACACAGACACTTCACCACATGTGCGTCTCCATCACTGCTGCTGATATAATACACATCTCATTGCATTGATGCGTTGCCAGCGATCCAGTACATTAAAGAAACATGAGGAGCATCAACTAATGTGATATGAAACACCCCGATCGCAATGCAGTGCAATTCAATGTGATACAATGCCATGCTAAAAAAAATATGATGCCATGCAATGTAATATGGTACACACAGTTTGGTTTTATTTCATTGGCTCTTCTGAAGCAGATCATAAAGTAAAGAACAGTTTGGTGTCACCGTACTGCAGCTCAGTCTGCATCTCATTATCTCCACCGAGAAGGTTTTGTTTTGGTGGGTCCAGGAATTGTTTATGACTTTCTTTACCATAGAAAGATTTGTACATTTTCACTGATTTCCCACGGTATAATTAATGGATCTTGATTTTTTTTTATTAAGGGGATTGATATGCATGAGTGTGAGTAATTTGTTGCAGCTTCATTGAACTTAAGAGGACTGCTGGGCTTTGGCGGAGGTACGCGCTCTACTGAGTGCCGTTCTCGTTGATGTTGTTTCTTTCTTTTCAGACTTCTGAAAACACTTTGCTCTTTGTAAAACAAGAACAAGAATGGGAATGTGCCTTAAACCAGTCATTCTTTTTCTCTTTTTATAACCTCACACACTTAGAGGACGCTCAGCAATGGCAAAGCGTGCTGAAGTGCTTTACTCATTCAGCAGGTAGCCTGACGCAGCAGTGAGCAGAAAGCAGTAGTGCTGTTTCTTTACTTTATAGCAGCATAGCATATTTTGCAAATTACATATTGTCAAATTGTCTGGCTCTGCCGAACAATCCAAATTGTTGCCAAATACTTGATTTGTCACAAGTCAAGTGGAACGTGTTGCTCTGGCTTCTCGATGATAATCTGTGACTCATTGTGAAAATTGACAAGATTCGGCGACAGCTGAGTAGATGAGGGAGCATGTTTGAGCAATAACAGAGGAGGAATTAGTCTAATCAGGAAATTGTCAATTGTACTATTGTACTTTAAAATAGACTGGCACTCAGTAGAGCACAGACCTCCACCAAGGCCCCTAAAAATTCAATCATGGGGCTCTAAATGTCACACTTCTATAGGATATCACTTCCTTAAATATGCCATATTTTCATCAAGATCCATTAATTATTCTCTGAGAAATAGTGAAAATGTTGATAAATGCCTTGTCTTGCAGTGTTTTCCTGAAATATGGAAAAGGTTTGTTCCTGACCCGTACGATATCCTTCCACCAAGTTCCGTAGAAATTCAAAAAAAAAAATCCGAACACACAAACGCACAAACAAAACAGGGTGAAAACATAACCTCCTTTGCAGAGACAATAATAAAGGCACAATCATGTACAATAAACATATATAAAGAACCCTGATTTTACAGATGTAAAGATGTTACATAATCATTCCATTGATGCACCATCAGTGAATCCTTCCATCCCCACTCCTTCCAACTGACGAAAGATAAAATAACCACCAGTAAACACACACATGCACTGTACACATTCAACCTCACACAGACACACGTGCACAAACACAGTAGTTTGCCTCCCACCATCAACACATCTTGATGATAACGCACTGAGCTGAACAGCTGGCCCAGGCTGTTCAGCCTCAAGAATAAGAAAAACAGGGGGGGAAGAGAGGAGAAGACAGGATTATTTGTGCTCCCCAGCAATCTGCATTTTCACAAAAACAATGTCTTGCCCTGACGTCTGAGCATCAACATGTGTTCTGCTGCCAACTGTGTTGTCTCCAGGGCTCCAGTCAAGAGAAACAACTCACTTTCTTTGTTAGTGCCTGTTTAGGCAGCCACAGTGCTATGCATGTGAAATTTGAAAAAATGACAGGAAGTGAATGCATATAAAAGAAATAAATAAGAATGGCAGACAAAAGGGGACTTAGTAAGAGCAGGTAAAAGAGAGAGCGCAAAATAATTATAGGATGATGGTGTGATGGTGATGTGTGAATTCATGTGTGCAAATACACACTAAAACACAATAGGGTTGTATCTGAGACACACTAGTGAACCACAAACACACTTTTCTCATCCTTCAGTTTCTTCCCACCATGTCTTCCTGTGCTTGACTGACAATGAGGAGAGAGAATAGTTTGCACAATACACATGATTCAG